GAGCCAGTTTTACAACTTGAAGATGATTGTTTTTTGAGAACGTTGCCAATTTAATCTAAAAATCAATTGAATTTCACTGCCATCAGAAAATTGTACATCCTCTTTGTATCCAAATCTTCAGAGCCTTAGGGGAAAAAGCCTTTGAAGTGGAATGTAAGAAGAATTTTAATGTTTTGTGCAGAAAGACAGAATTTAGATGGGATGAGAAAGAGGAAAAAGAAACAAGTGTGATGTGCTTTTTTTCAATTGCTCTGGCACACAAACTGGTTTTCCTACTCACCCTTGTATCACCCCACTGGTTTCAGCACCTCACGTCTTATGTTCTCCTCAGCTTTAAACATCTCTGAAAATTCAAAGAAACACTTCTAACTTTCCCTTTCTGGCTATGTTTTTGAATGAATAAGTGAATTGAATAAGTGAATTGAATAAGTGAAGGCTGAGGTGATGCAGTGAAACAGGTTTGAGAGATCTGAAAGGCTTCCGAATTTCAAAATATGCTTTGCACGTTACTTGGGATTTTATAAATAATTTTGCTGTTTACTCTGTGTAAATGCAAAGCTGTTGAAGAAAATCTTGAAAAGGAGGGAGTAGTGGTTATATGTTTAAAAATAAATGCATAGATGTGCTACTAAAGGTATTCTACAGTCTATTTTGCAAACAGGATTAATCACTTAATTTTGTATTTCTTTACAGTGTTCATCTCATTTTAAAGGGCCTGTAGATGTCCAGTTCTTCAATTACTCTGAAAGTCTATGACCTAAATTTATATAAATTAATGTATTATGATTGCTAGCTAACAATATTTTCTATAGTTGTAATCAAAACATTCACTTGGGTATAGATATCATACATGAGTTCTCTCCATTTTATTTTGGGAAGCTACCATATTGTGAGTGGTTAGCCAAAGAAAATTCATTTGATAGCAGCAGGAGAAATTAAGTACTTGTTACTCATTCCCTGGCTATGAGGCCATAGGTTTTTGTGTATAGTAATGCACATTTGATTTTTTCCCCAAAAATGCCATATGTATAATGCAATTTTGCTTTTCTCCACCAGGTATAGGCTGTTCATTTTTTAAATGGTTGCTTTTTAATAGTATTTATGTCCAGAATATGCTGTCAGCTGAGTTCTCATACATTTTTTATTGGTGAGCAAAAGACAAATACCTCAGGTGATCAAAGGACTGTGTGCTCCCCACTTTCACCGAGTCTCCAGACCCACTCAGCAAAAATTTTGAAGCAGCTGAGAAGTGTTTCATCATAATTTTATGCTCAATGCTCAGAATCATAGACACTGGTTGTAACTGGAGGAGCAGTTGTTTGGATAAGCTCTAGCAGCTGCAGGTGGGATTCAGACAGTTGCCAACAGGATGCTTTTGTCTCCTGTGTCCCCTGGTCAGGGCTGAGGTGGCTCTCCTTAGCTCAGAGGCGATGCAGGACGTGTGCATGTAGTGCCCAAGCTCCCACAAATGGTTCAGAACAAAGAGGTTAGGGCATGGCCTCAGAAATCTCCCTTTGTTTTGGGCACATTTTCACTGTTTTGTGTTTGTCATTTCCTTCTCTCCCCCAAAAAAACAGCAGCTGCCTTATCTTCAGTCTCCAGGTGCTGCCACAGTGTCACTGATGTGGAGCACTTGAATTCCTTCACAGTGCACACCGAAGATGTGTACATGTAAAATATCTCTGGGCTGTCATGTATAAACTGCAGCATTGTGAGGCACTGCATCCTGATAAATCATGAGTTTTTCAGAAAAATCTGCTTATTTTCTTCCATTGTATGGTGTTTCTGATAATTGTCTTGTGTCTAAATATTTTCATTTCAGTCAGTAACGTTACAGCTTTCGTTTTAGGTTGTTTGTATTAGAAGAATTTCCTATTTTTGACTTGTCTTGAATAGGCTGGAAAAAAATTGGTGCTTTTATAGTTTCTATGTGAAGGGGGTTTTATTTTATGTTCTATTAGTTGTTTGTTTTTCCTCTACAGTGCTTCGTCATCTGTCATCCCTCAATGCATACAGGATGATAAACTCCCTGTCCCTGTTAATGGCAGTCGAGAATGTTTTGCTTCTCTCAGGATTGGTGCCATATTACCAGGACAATGTATTGATTTGGGTGACTGCCAGTGTGTGATGCATGACAGAAATGAGAAATTGAACTTTCTGAACGTGAAGTAAATCGTGCTGATGATGATGTATAAATGACTGAGGGAAAAGCAATCAATCAGATGCTCTCTGCTGGCAGCAGAGCTACATACAATTTAATATATAGTAAACCAACAGTTGTTTACAGTCTAAATCAAATAGTGTTCTGTGCTAAACTCATATTCTTGCAAAGATTACTTGGAACATTTTTGGGTTTAGTATGCTTTCCTTTCTGCTTTACCAACATGTGGTGTCTGATAATTCAGAAATATTGAACTGCCTCTATTAATTCTTGCTTTTTCTTGTCAAGAGCTACAGATTGTTTTTTCCAGACTGCTTATTACTACTTTAAATTGGTTGATCTTTAAGTAATGTTAACTTATAAGTAGAGTTGTTTTGAGTCCCAGATACCTGCAGAAGGAGTTTATTATAGCCACAGGTAATTGGACTTTACTGTAAAACATCCACTAGAGACTTGAATAGGCCCATTCTCTCTTTTGGCAGATGTTTTGCAGATATTAGACTTATATCTAATTATCTTTGGGTACTCTAGCAGTACACAAGAGCATTCATGTGCAGATGACTGTAATATTATTTGCTTTCCTTCTCCACACTCTGAAAGGAATGGGATAATTTATCCTTTTTGGAAAGAGAAGTATTTTAATGAAGGCTTAAAGAGACTTCCTGAAATTCTCCTTATTGACAAGTCCTGTCATTCTGGGTCTGTCTCAGTTTATTAGTTGCACAATGTAAGACCCTTCAGCAGCAGGGAATTCTGCTCAGTTGTCCCCTAAGCCAGCCAGAGCTGCAGAGCTTGCAATGTTCCATTTGAACTTTGGGGTGGGAGTTTCCAAGGATTTCTCTCTCTAAGTTGTCAATGTTTTCTTCACCTTAAGGCTGTGAGAATCCAGAGAGGAGCTGAACCAAGTATTCCTGGTAGAGGGAAATGCTGAAGCATTTGGCAGTCAGCTGGAATGTAAATCCTGGAGGTCTCTTGTGTGAAGCCTGCTATGATTAGACAGTTCAAGGCTAAACTGTTCATAGGCAGTTCAGCAAAAAAGTTGTTCTAACAGATATTCTAAAAAATACAACCAAATTACAAGCCATTTGGGCTTTTTATAAATTTTGTTTTCTCACATAGAAAAGTGGGCTTTTTCCCGCTGAAACTTATTTTGGCATTTGGGTTTGGTTTTGTTTGTTTGTTTGTTTGTTTTTTTAATAAACAAAATAAAAATAAAATACTAATTAATTAGATGTGAAATTTAACAATTTTGTAACCTCAGAATTAAATATATTACCTTGATTAATCCAAGTTCAGTAAATGGTATTAGAACGTGGAACTTGTCATTGGAGGGCAGGGTTGATGTCAGAATATCAGCAAAACTTGACAATATCACATAGATTCTCCCAAAACAGTAATACCAACCTTCCTAAACTCTCTAAGGGTATTGTTTCATATTTTTCATAACATGAAGTGCAGTAAGTTGCTTTTATATCTCAACATCAGCCAATGTAATTATTCATCTTTGCTTTATTTTAGACTTTATTTTATTTTAGATTTTATTTTGTCTCTCTGAAAGCCTAGAGAAAGACTTGACAAATATGCAGTTGCTAGGCAGGGAAACATAAGTAAACTGTCTGCCTCTTTTCTGAAGACAGCCTTGTGACCAGGAAAGTAAAAGAGTCTCTTATGCAAAACTCTGGAATTGCTATCAACATACTATAGAAATATATCTGCCAAAATACTTTTAAAAATTGTATGTATTAGATAGATTTTTATAGTTGATTCAGTGTTTTTACAGATTATTTGGTTCATGTCTTCAAACTTGCTTGCCTTCTGCTAATGATGTATACCTGGATTCTGCTTGGACTATCAAAAATTGATGATGCACAGGAGCAATTTTACAGATTCTATGCATTATTCCCTGAAATTCAGTGGTATTTGAGCACTCTAAAATGGTATTTAGTGTTCAATTTTGTCCTTAGTCTGTGGATAAGGAGTTAAAATCAAGGTGTTTTATATATTTATTATCTCAATTTGCAAAAGAGTCATGGTTATTATTCTGTGTTTTAGTTTCAATTACAAAAATCTTTAGATTAATGCATAATGAAACATTAATGAATATTGTATTTCCTGGTTTTGCAATAGATTTATTTCTGATGTCTCACAATCATTTCTGTACACCAACTCTGGAGCATGGAACTTGGCTCAGGTGCCATTTGGAAACCCAGATTCCTTTTCCATGGATATGTTTTATCACTGTGTGAACATGTGCTGTGTTCTGGGGTGTTTTGTTGGGTGGTGGGAATTTTATTTTCTGTGGTTGATTTCTTGTGGGTGTTTTTTTGCCACTGATGGGTGGTTGCATCTGCTATAGTTCCTTCCTATGAGGCCTCCTACAAGCCTTACTGAATGTGCCTGTCTTTTACTGCCTTCAAGACATTTTAGAAAAAGAATTATGCTGTTTTACAACTAAAAACTAAACATTGCCAGTGCTGATGTTTCAGCTCAGGGACAGAAATTACAGCAAACTTGTGCTGTTTTATCCAGCCTTGGGATCAGAAGTTACCTTAAGCTGATGTACAGAGATGGGATGTGTGTAGTCTTAATTTGGTTTTAAAGGTCTGTTTTGTTAATACATTCATGTAATGTATCTTCAAAAAAAAAAGAAAAACAAAGCCAACAAATATTAAAATGCACCTAGGATTGCCTTTTGAAGTTATATTTGGAATGACCTGTGTCTGTATGTTTACAAATGGCTTAATTTTAGAAATATGTTTTATATGTTTTGAGTAAATGAACTGTTCCCCATGATGTCAGAAGAGATTTATATCTCACTTGTTTATTCCTGTTTTTATAGATGGCTATACAACAGATGACATTGAGTTTTACTGGCGTGGGGGTGATAATGCAGTCACAGGAGTGACAAAGATCGAGCTGCCACAGTTCTCCATTGTGGACTACAAGCTTATCACCAAGAATGTTGTTTTCTCTACAGGTTTGTGGAGGGGAACTTAAAAGGGGAATTCTTTTAAAGACTTTTAAAACTGGATTAATTCTTAGTGTGCAGTTGAGGAGCAAAACTTTTAGAAACAGGAATAAAATAGAGCAGCAGCTGTGAATTTGGAAAGCAGAGGTTTCTGTTACAGCTTCCAAAGTGCATAAGGCACCATTCATTAACATCTGTAATCTGGCATGTTAAGGCTCATCAAATGAGCCTTAACATGCCAGATTATTTTCTGTTTACCTATGAAAACTGATAAAGCCACACCTCTGTGCCATAAAACCAACCCAGCATGTAGGATATTTATTAACCTTTTCACTGTATTTTTAGTGTTCCTTTTGCTAAGTTGGGGATGTATTAGACTAATTATTTTGTCTTCAACATAAAATCTTTAAAATGCTTGTTCCAGGATTTTCAGTTTATCCTATTCTAGCAAGTGTATGACTTTCTGAGGGCTGAAAAGATGCTTTCTGAGAAGGAACAGAAAATCAGATTGCATTTCATGAGATAAAAAAAAAAATTAAAAAAAAAAAAACAAAACCAAAATGAACATATTTCAATGACATTAAATTGTTCAAGAGAGGCAAGAGTTGGATTGGGCTGTTACTAGGAGATGTTTTCTACCTACTTGAGAACCCCATTAGGTGTGTTTAAAAAAATATCTTCAAAACTCACTGTCCAGATATGGGTACAAAATATTTTTGGAATGACTACAAAAGGATTGTACCTCCCAAATTCTTCAAAATCAAGCAGAAATGGTACTTAAAGAATGATTTCTAGGCACCCATATTAACACATGTTACACATAAAAAATGCTACAATATTTCTGGTGTCCAGTGACAAAAGAGGAGTGTTGCATTTCCTGGAGAGAACTTTAGGATCAGGGTCACACTGAAGCTGGCATATCACAGTTTGTCAGGGAAGAGGAATTTCTGTGCTTTGTTGCTCTGATGTGTATTTTGGCTTTTGATTGTTGAATGTTATGATTACCAGCAGATAAGCAACTAGAGCATCTTTGTACCCTTAGCATAAAAGATTATTTAATCCCAATTCTTACTAGAAATTCTGCCCTGAATATCCTGGATCTTTCAGCTCTGAGTGTACTCTACATTGAATGAAAAAATAAAACAAAAATGACAGAAAAGAAAAATGTTTTCAGGCTTTATACAAATAAATTATGGCCATACCAAATATTCTCTTTTAGGTGCCTACCCAAGGCTGTCTCTCAGCTTTAAACTTAAGAGAAACATTGGTTACTTCATTCTGCAGACCTACATGCCTTCTATTCTGATCACTATCCTGTCCTGGGTTTCCTTCTGGATTAATTATGATGCTTCAGCTGCAAGAGTTGCTTTAGGTAGGCATTTTTACACATCTCATGCAGTGTGCATTAGCTGAATGGTTTTTCTAGCTTCTGGCTGAGTGGATAGTGCATGATTTGAAAATAAAAAATATATGTGTTAGATCTTTTTATGTCTGGCTTGTTAAGCTTTGTATTATTTGCATCAGCATTTAAAACATCAGAATTTAAATAAAAATTAAAGTGATTTCATGTCTGAATCAGCTAACTTTATAATAATTGTAATCAAAATTAGCCTAATTGTCTCAACATATTCTGTTCTTCTTTTGCTGCTTGTTTTTTTCTCTGAAAAGAATGCACTTAGCCTGCATTTGCCCATAGCAGTCCAGATCACACTTCCAGCATTGTGTTATAGATTATAAATTGCTTACACACTTATAATCTATAACACAGCATTGTGTTATAGATTATAAATTGCTTTTCCTTTCAGGAATTAAATAAAGTTTTACTAGATTTGTATAGCTCACTTGTCCTTACATTGAGGGACGAGGCTGTGCCTCAAATCCAGCTCCTGGCTCCTCACTTCAAGACAGACATGGAGGGGCTGGGATGAGCCAGAGAAGGGCAGCAGAGCTGGGGAAGGGTCTGGAGCACAGGACTGAGGAGGAGCAGCTGGGGGAGCTCAGCCTGGAGAAAAGGAGGCTCAGGGGGGACCTTCTGGGCCCTAAAACTCCCTGGGAGGAGGGTGCAGCCAGCTGGGGGTTGGTCTCTTCTTACAAGTGAAAAGACAAGAGGAAATGGCCTCGAGTTATGCCAGGGGAGGTTTAGATTAGATCCTAGGAGAAATTGCTTTACCAAAAAGTTTCCAGCCTTGGCAGAGGGAAGTGGTGGAGTTACCATCCATGAAGGGATGTAAAAGGTTTGAAGATTTGGTGCCTGGGGACATGGTTTAGTGGAGGATGTGGCAGTGCTGAGTTAAAGGTTGCATTCAATGTACTTAAAGGTCTTTTTCAACCTAAATTATTGTGTCTGATTTTTTTTTCCTTGCTGTTACCTTACGTTCCAAAAGCAAAACTGTTTCCCTAATTAATCTCTAGAGTATTTGTATATCTCATCACTAGTCCTATGTGTATCTGTTTATTCTGTGCCCCTCATCATAATTCCAAAAATAAGTATATCTATTGCCAAATTTTGTCAAAATCAGACTGATTCCTGCCAGTACAGCTCTTGTATAGCTAAAATAAGTAAACTCCCTTAAAAGATGCCATTGAAAATTTGGCATTTTAATGTTATAAAATACATCCGAGTTTTACCAGACTTTTCTATGTAGCATTTTGCCTTAAGAATTTCAGACTGCAGACATTCTGAAAATGCTGGAGGAAAGCAAGATAAAGCAACTGTAGCCTGTAATTTTTAACTGAGACTCATTACAGGAGGTTGCAGTTTATCTGGTTAAAAATATACTTATAGAATCCAACTACTGTTTGCTTGACTGAACTCACTTTATTACAGGTGTAGTGATTTTTATGCTATGCAAGAGATCCAAGTCCAAGATAAGGACAGAACAAGATGTTCCTGAAAAAATTCAAACACATAAATGAAACCTACAGAGGGTGGTGGCAAGGTCAGATAGCCTGTGAGAAATACACAAAAAAAAATGTGAGCAGCCAAGGATCAGGTTAGGGAAGCTAAAGCCCTAAGACAGAACTAAATCTGTCCAGGGACATCAAAGGCAACAAGAAAAGCTTCTGTATAGGTTCATTGGTGCTAAAAGACGATGAGGGAAAATGGGAGTCCTCTCTGAAAGGAAACAGGAGGCCTGGATAGCCAGGATTTGGAGATGACTGAGGTACTGAACACCTTTTTAATGCCTTGCTCTCATGGACACGTGCTCCAGACACATTGCCCAAGCTGCAGAAGGCAAAGGCTGGGACTGGGAGAATGAAGAACCATCTGCTTAAGGGATCTTGTTGGAGACCATCTAAGGAACGTGGCAATCCCAAGCCCAAAGCCCATGGGACCTGATGAGATGCATCCACAGGGCCTGAGGGAACTGGGAAATGAATTGGCTAAAACTCTATCCATCATACTTGAGAAGCCATGGCAGTCTGGTGAAGTTTCACTGACTGGAGAAATGGAAGCAAAGCCCCATTTTTAAGAGGAGGGGGAAAAAAGAAGACTTGAGGAACTACAGAACTGTCAGTCTCACATTGGTGCCTGTCAAGATCATGGAGTAGATCCTCCTGGAAGCTATGCTAAGGCACATGGAAACCAAGGAGGTGATTGATGAGAGCCAGCCTGGCTTCACTAAGGGCAAGCTGTGCCTGACAGAGTCTGTGGCCATCAGGTCCCAGCACTGGTGGAATGAGGGAAGAGCAACTGATGTCATCTACCTGGGCTTGTGCAAAGCACCTGACACTGTTATGCATGAGATCCTTCTCTCTAAACTGAAGAGTCATGGATTTTTTTGGATGGACCACTCAATGGATAAGGAATTGGCAGAATGGTTGCACCTAAGTAGTTGCAGTCAACAGTTTGATGTCCAAGTGGAGACCAGTGAAAAGTGTCCTTAGGGGTCTGTGTTGGTATTGGTGTTGCTTAACATCTCAGTCAGCAATGTGGACAATGGGATTGAGGCCATCCTCGGCAAGTTCCTGAGCTGTGTGGTGCTGTCCGCATGCTGGAAAGAAGAGATGCCATCCAGAGGGGCCTTAACAGGCTGGAGAAGTGTCAGAGAGGCTTTGAGAGCCTAAAAGGGGTCCAAGAAAGTTGGAGAGGGACTTGGGACAAAGGGGAATGCCTTTAAACTGACAGCTGAGGATTTAGCTTAGATCTTGGAAAGAAAATATTCACTGTGAGTGTAGTGAGAAAGTGGATCATGTTGTCTGGAGTTGGGGTATCCCTGTTCCTGGAAACATTCAATGCCAGGGTGGATGGGGTTATGAAAAACCTGGTTGCTCATAGTAGAAGGTTCCCTGCCCATGGTACTAGATGGTTTTGAAGATCCCTTCCAACCCAAACCTTTCCAGGATTCTGTTAATATGAAAAGAGGTTAGAGATATCTTTTTTCCCACCAGGGTGAAAAAACATATTTTTCAAATACAGCATTTGAATAGTATAAATTATTATTCTAGAAAATAAAATTATTTCAATCACTAGACTTCTCAATTCTTTTTTCCAGGAATTACAACTGTGCTCACAATGACAACAATTAACACCCATCTTCGAGAGACTCTTCCCAAAATTCCATATGTGAAAGCCATTGATATGTACCTTATGGGATGTTTTGTCTTCGTTTTCATGGCTCTACTGGAGTATGCATTGGTCAACTACATCTTCTTTGGCAGGGGACCTCAGCGTCAAAAGAAAGCAGCAGAAAAAGCTGCCAGTGCCAACAATGAGAAGTTGCGAATGGATGTCAATAAGGTAAACTGTAATGAGGATAAATTTTTAGCATTTTCCCAGGAAGACAGGCTCTTACTTCTGTCAGACAGTGCTTTAAAATATGATTTCTTGTAGAAAATGAGGGGAGTGGAATTATTATGACCTTGTCTTAGCTCTGCAGAGCAGTGTGCTTTGCCACCTCAGCAATGAATGCTGCCCTCCAGCCCGGAAAGCTGAATGACTTGTTTCTAAAGCATGCAGTCAGTGAAGCTTTACTGAGAGATGTTTTCTTAGTCAGAATGTAGACTTGAATATGTACAACCTGTTTCCAAAGGAATAAATCCAAAATGATGGCTGTATATTCTAGGAAGAGCTGTATGGAACATTGGAACTAAAATCTAAATTTGAACTGCTTTCATAAATCTTTCAGATGAGCTGGATAAGAAATATTTGCCACAGAAGTGTTTAAAGTTTGAGAAGTTTGCATATTTTCAATGTCTAATGGGCCAGGATACTATTGACTAAATGAGGAACTTCTCAGAAATAAACCATCAATGTGCTGTGTACTTAATTTTGAATTTAAAGTGGCCCCCTAGGGATGGAGAATTGAGGCAGAAAAGGTATTTGCCAAGATACACACTTCTGGGAAAAGTATCCATTATGCTTAATGAAAATGAGGCACTTATCATAAAGCACTTGTAATTTATCACTTTGACCATTTTGGGATGAATTTCACACAGTGGCAAATCTGTGCTGAAAGCAAAAATGTTCTCAGTCTAAAATGTATAAACTTTCACACACATGCAGAATTGGAAAGTTAAATAAGATTGAATTATCTTTGGGGGTTTTTGGATGGAGGGGGTGAGAGGGTTGTGGGATTTTTTTTATTTTTTTTTTTTTTTTTTTTTGTCAGGGGAAGCTCTTTGATAATCCAAGGAGAAAAAATCAAAGTCAGAATCTTAAAAAAAAAAAAAAAGAAAAAACAAAACAAAACAAAAAAAAAACACCAAAAAAAAACCACCAAGGAATTGTCTGTCAGTTGGAAACTTAAGTTTCATACAGCTCTAGTAGTGAAATTTCTAATGTTTGTTCAGAACCTCTACACACAAAGTGGGTCTGCTGACTGAAGAACTTTTTATTCCAAAAACAAAATAGTTTTATAGGTTATAGTTTATAGTCTTTTAAGAAGGAAAGTTATATCACCATGGTTCAGATCTCATCCTTTTTTTTTTTCTTTTTGATTGGAGTGGGATATATTTTAATGAATGAAAGCATAATCATAATGATGAGTTTAATGTTGATGTTATGTTACCATATACCATCTTTTAGCATTATAAAATTTATGAAGACACTGTAACATGTTTTTATTTCTATTGGTGATTTTTCAGCAATGAGAAAAAACAAAACAAAAACCACCAAAAAAAAAAACCACCAAGGAATTATTTGTCAGTTGGAAACTTAAGTTTCATACAGCTCTAGTAGTGAAATTTCTAATGTTTGTTCAGAACCTCTACACACAAAGTGGGTCTGCTGACTGAAGAACTTTTTATTCCAAAAACAAAATAGTTTTATAGGTTATAGTTTATAGTCTTTTAAGAAGGAAAGTTATATCACCATGGTTCAGATCTCATCCTTTTTTTTTTTTCTTTTTGATTGGAGTGGGATATATTTTAATGAATGAAAGCATAATCATAATGATGAGTTTAATGTTGATGTTATGTTACCATATACCATCTTTTAGCATTATAAAATTTATGAAGACACTGTAACATGTTTTTATTTCTATTGGTGATTTTTCAGCAATGAAAAAAATCCGTGAGATTTTATTTAAATTGTTAAGGTTTTTTTCTTTTTTAAAATTAAATTTCACTTTTAAAAATGCTATATTCTACCCTGTAAGTAATTTTGTAAGACTAGATCTGCATTTACCTGAAGTCTTTCCTCTAACATCAATGGAAATTTAAAGTCCATACCTGAGGTATATTTTTGTACACTTTGCTTCACTTGTGCTTCCAACATTCCTGTTCATACAATAGACCTTTCAGCTGTATAACAGAATAGCCAAAGCCCAGTGGCAAATTGCTGATCATGAAGCAGAATTTGAAAGCACTAACTGGTGTGTTAATCCAATCCACTAGGTAGAGTAAATTAATTTCAATAACTGTTGAACTTTACCAGCTTACAAGATTGACACAAGGTATACTGTGGAACAATTTTACTTTTTTTTTTTTTTCATAGTGAGCCTTTCAGTTAATGTTCTAGGGGATTGACACAATGTATACTGTGGAACACAAGGAACAATTTTACTTTTTTTTTTTTTTTCATAGTGAGCCTTTCAGTTAATGTTCTAGGCCACCATGGTTAGCAGTCTGTGGCAGTTCTGCTCTGGTATCCAGATCCACTCTGATCTGGTAATCAGGTTTGCAATCCTTTGAGCAATAGACAGGGAATCAAATAGGAGAGGATCAGAGAACTTGTCCTACTGCACAGACTGCTCTGGGGAGAAGGAAAGGAGCTGACAGCTGTTCTTGTTGTTTGACCAGCAGCAAGAAAACATATTAATATTTAATGGACCTGAATATTTTATCTATTAATGGGAGACAAATATTATGTAATTATTTTCATTTATAAGGATCAAAAAGGGGTCTGAACTGCTGAAATTAGTTCAAAAACAGTTTTTCATAAAAACCAACGTACTTTAGAAATGGGATCACACAAAAACTTGATCTTTAACTAGGCTCCAGTAGTGAAGGACTGATTTTACAAGGTATAAGTGTTGTGATATCACAAGATTCCTCTTGAACCATTATGTGCAATATTATGAATTCATAAGACTCAGATACTACGCAAGAGAAGATTGATGCCATGAGCAATAAACCTCAAAATATAAGGATGAAAACTTCTACACAAGACTTCTGTTGCTGCATTCAGCATTGACACTCTAAAAGAGGTAGATAAATAGTTATTGCAACTGCTGTTTGTAACACAGCATCTTTGCTTATACTTTATATACCAGCAAATCTGTAATAGTTTCCTTGCAATTCCAACACTCTTGTTTGGTAACAATCTCGTAAAACTTTCAATCAACAGAATGTGGTGAGAGGGGAAGTGCTGACTGGTCCTCTCATCCACAGCTGGTTGCAAAATCAAAGGAGAAGTTAATTCATGCTCCCTTTATGCTGTTGAATTCTCTTCCATGGACAGATCCCAGTGTGGACAAGGGCACTGGTAATCTCTCTATTTTTGCTTGGTGTTTTTCAGAAGATACTAGGGAGCCTAAAACACAGTGTGCAGTGGAAGCTTTTTTTCCATGACTGTGGCGTCTGCTGAATCCATTGCAATCTCTTGGAGATTTGGTGACTCAGGTGTCCTCTTTTTCCATTTGAGTGAACTCCATCAGGCTGGCTGCAGAGCTTCCCCAGGGCTATTCCAGATGAAACTGTGACCAAATCTTTCTTTAAATTTCACAATATATTCATATCATATGCAAAATCTGATAGTTTGGGGTTTGTTCTGTCTTTCTTTTTTAAATCATGGAATAGTTTGAGTCGGAAGGGACCTTTAAAGGTCACCTACTCCAACCTCATTTTAATGAGCAGGGCCATCTTCAGCTAGATCAGGTTGCTCAGGGCAGCATCCAATGTGACCTTGGATCCCTGTTTGCAGGGAGGGGGTATGCACCACCTCTCTGAGCAACCTCTTCCACTGTTTCATCCCATTTAAAAAAAGTTCTTCCATATATCTAGTCTGAGTCATCACATAAGATATACTCCCTTTTCAAAGATTGTTGATCCTCTTTACGGTAATGGAAAGGTAGGGAAGGAATTGGGCCTATATCATGATTTGATTCTTGGATACTGAAACCTGAGTTATAAAATCATGTAGAAATTTAAAAAACATAAAGCTCAGGCAGATTCAGGCTCAGTTACCAGCAGATACATTGCCACAGACTTGTTAAATCATATAGGACTTGCTTGATTTTCTTTGCAGTGAGTTCAGATAAAGATGGCTCAGAGTATCATCGTTTTACTCTTGAAACTTCTCAAGCTACTTCTTAGCAGTTTGTTCCCTTAGTCCAACTCATCATCTTTTGCCTTGTCAAGACTAGTTGTTCTTCCTGTAAACAATCATATTGCTGCTTGTAGGTAAATCACTGCTTTCCTTCTTACTTTAGACATAATTTAATTTATTTGAGACAGAATTCACATAATTTCCTCACCTCTCTTTTCAAGTTTTTCATCTTTTGTCTCCAATGCCTTTCTTGCCTTGGTAGTCTCAAGTTTCTCATTTTCTTCTGTTGTGATTGGCATAGTACTGCAAGTGTACATAAGAATAGGTACACTGAGAGTGTTCTATGTCTGCTTGAGGTTTGTCATAAAGTATGGTATATATACAGTAAGCCATTGTTATGTCTTTTTATTCTGTGAGCTTTTGTATTTAAGAATGTTGATGGTCATCCATGTCCTTTTGGTCCTTTGCATTTCATGAATCTTTATGCTAATATTGTCTGTGCTTCTTCAAGATGATTAAGATATATTAAAATATGGGGCCAAATTCCAGCCTCTGACTTCCCAAAAAGAGGCACCTGTCTTCCTGTGGGTAATTGCACATGCATCTGGAACATGTTATCCCTTCTATTTTAAGATAATGTACCAAAGGCTTTACTGAAATCCATAAATCATATCTCCTTATACAAATGATCTAGAAAGATTTGGTCTAGAAGCATCTATGACCCTGTTTTTCTTTTCATTGTAATTTTTTTTTCTTGTTTCCTTTTAAGATGGAAGGGGGTTAGGGGAGGAAAACAAGCTACTGTCACAAAACTCTTCAGGTTTTCTCCCTGTGAAGTTTGGCTTTGTCTCCAAGAAGATGATTCACCTAACCACAATTCCAGTGTAGAGCCTGGTTCAGCTGCAAATGATTTCTTAGGCAGACCCCCCCAGCCATTTTAATAAGTTTCATTTCTGTTATGACAGCTCAGATAATTAATTTCTTGGTGCTCTCTCAGAGCTGACTTATTCCCCTTAAATTTTTTTTCCAGA